ACGCTCTTCTACCTTTAATATGACAAATTGTCCATGTCCTGATGAGCCGTATTGTAGGATGCCATTAGATGAGTATTTCAAGCCTACCAATGGAATAGACTCATGTTTGTCTCAGGGGAAATTTCTTAAAAAAAGATATTTTTTGGAGGCAAGCACGTACACACACACACACACACACACACACATATATGCAAGTTTACTCATGTACACACATACACAACAGATTGGGAACTTCTTCCAGTTTACAAGGATGGATTATATGTGTAGCTGAATATTGCATATGTGACAAAAGAGTTCCTTCGTTTTATTATGAAATCAACATGGTGGAGAGGAGCTAATTCTCTCTTAATCCTATTATGGTTACTTAATTTAGACAAAAAACGAGAATTATGCATAATTACATTGTTTTAGTTTACCTCTGAATGTCCAAGAGCCCAACATCTCATTGTGATTGGAACTGAACATGTTTAGATCCCATGCTGCAAAAGTTAAATTGGGCCACACTTTGACAGTAAATGCTCTGTCAACTAAGAAGCCTAAATTTGCTTTGGCAGGCACAACGGGGGACATTTTTATTGTTATGGGCATTTTCTAAAAATAGCTACAATAACTTTGTACTTAGAAAGTTAATTCTGTTTTAACGTGATTGATAAAAAAAAATAGGTCAAGAATGAAAGCAAAAATGTGGAGTGGCAAGCATAGACAAACAATAGCAATTAAAGGAAAAACTATGTTTTAAAGAGGTACAAATGACTGGCCTTGGTGACTAAGTGGACATAGCAGGTAAGGAAAAAATATGACCATTGACGTAGTGAATGATGCAAAAAATGCAGCCATAAAGTGCATGATATGAGGAATAACTATGGGGGTAGGTGCCATAAACGCTGGCTTTGGGGAGGTTTTTTGATAGAAATAAATAATAAGGAACTAGAAAAAATAGCCTACTAAAACAACAGAACTGGAAGCAGCGTATTTAATTTTAGGAATTATGTGCCCGTAAATGCAACTAAAGGTGGCCTAGTAACTGTGATTCAAAAAGTTGGGTTCTATTGCATTAGAAGAGAAGGGGTGAAGTCTGAATCCAGGAAATATAACATCATGTAAGCTTATATAGAGGAGGGTTAGGCAGAGATGTGAACAGACCATGAAAGAAAAGCCTCAACATGTTCCGTCTTGGGAAAACATTAGAATTCTTTTATATCAAAAATTCTTCTGATTTAAAACTGTTATACTCACGTAATGCAAACTGCAATGATTTGAAATAAACTGTCTAAATATGTCCCTGATACTAAATATTCTATCTCCCTGACTGATACATTTGATACAATCCTTTGGTTTGGGAGTCATTTAGACCTAGGTTAGAATTCTTACTAGTTGTATTAGTACAACTACTGTTCTGAGTATCAGTAAATTAGTGAACACAACACTTGCTATTCAATAATTACTCAATGAATCTGTTGTCATTCATCATATTAGATCATTTCAAAGTATTCACTGAACGTATGTGTGTCTGTGTTGGTAGGGATTGAACCCAGGGCCTCACACTTGATAGGCAAGCATTCTAACACTGAGCTAACACCCCAGCCCCTACTTACTAAAATTTATTTCCCTGTTCTTCATATTTGTTGCTTTCTGTACTTCTAAAAGTGTTTTATTATTTCCCTTTTCAGAGGATGTAATATGGAGATAGAATGCTAAGAATAAAGAAGGTGTGGCACATGTTTGACCTTTAAATTACAAAACTTTAGAGCCATGAGAAGTCTCTGAAAAGCATGAGTCTTCTCCAATCGGTCATCTCTTCTTTGGAAGAGGAAAACACTTGTGGAAAAGCTAGACAATTTGATGATGTCATAGAACATTTCTATTTCTCTGAGTAAACCATTATTTGGTTACAATAGCATTTGCAGAAGGGTCTAAGAAAATATGACTAAGGTTTAGAGGCTTTCTGGATTTCTGAGTAGGGGCTTTAAGGGGCCCGGTGAGGTAAAGGGGATAAGAGTTCCTCCTATGGTTGGAGGCAAAATTTGTGAAGAGCAAAGATTTGTGTCCTTTTCCCCATGGAAGATCTTTGGAAACTAAGCTTTGTAGAAAAATTTTGCACACAATGTGAGACCTGAATGTTAAAAGACACAACTGGATGATGGGATGATTATATTTTTTAATGGGGAGGTAGATATGTGTGTAGTGATTTATGGTGCTAGAAATGTAAGCAGGGATGTTTGATCTTCTGGAAGGAATAAAGTCTAGACAAGTCTGCAAAGGTTGTGGTTGGAGGCCACGGCAAAGCTTTTGTCCAGTGTTGAGTCCAGAGACCAGATAGCAGTAGCTCAGCTGAAGACAGGAAGGCATCAGTGGCTTTTCTCCTATACCACAAAGCTTTATGTGAGCGCCATAGAAGCAAATTTCTTGGACGAAATGAGAAGGGATATTGAATACCTTAATTTTAAACAGGTGTAACCCCCCCAAAAAAAAGCCAAACTGTAAACTAGAAGTAACAATTATCTTGCAGTAGCAAGGTTAGGATTATTTTTTGTGTTAAGTAGAAATGAGAACTCTAAAGCTAAGTTTGATGTTTTTAGAATACTAGAGAATGAACAATGAAATTTATGTACATATCACGTTTGCTAAGATGTGAATTTTAAACTTGGCCCTGTATTGTCATTTCTGTAGTATGACTCTAGGAAACAGCACACTTGCAAGTCCTAGGAGTCAGGTGAAATGCAGCATCACAGAACACTTCAAGGTGCGCTTCTGGCCAGTATTTCAGCAGAATGAGACTACTTTAATATATGGAGGGTACACATGTGATTGTACTTGTAATAAGGATTCCTTCTCATGAAATCATTTGAACAACCACTGCCATGGAAGCCTTTGCTTTTTTTCATTTTAAAAGAAATTCTTCATACATTAACCTTATCCAGATGATAATTAAGTTTATTATCTTGGTATTCTGTGGGTCTAACACACTCGTGGAAACATCTTATGGAAAGCTCTAATAGCTAGATCCCTGATTGTGTTCAAGATTGCCCTAGGGACAGGGTTCTAATAAATCCTTAAGGTACTTATTAACTAAACTAGCTTTCTGAAAGAACTTTCACATCTATTAGAATATTATTTGTTAGTTTTTATTTTTTTGCTTTATTTTCTTACTTAAAACACTTTAGAAAAGCTGCAGATCCAGCAGTTTCAGAATAGTAATGAAAACCATCAGGCTTATCCAAGTAATGCACTGAAGTGTTTACAATTAACAGCATCCCCCAAAGAAACTTCAAGTCACTGACAGTCCAACTGCATGTTTCCTTATATTCTATCATTTTCTGCATTTAGAAAATTATGAATTAAACTGAAAATGATGGTTAGAGTAAAATCATTCAGAACACAAAATAAGCGTATTCAAAACAGGGTTAATAGATAAAGTAAGACCTGTTTAGGAAATCTGCTTTTCCAAATATCATCTACTATGTTCACTAAACTGAAAATACGAAGTTTTAAAAGAGAAAAATCACAGGGACCCAGTATTCTATAAAATAAAGGACTTGGAAATAAATCTATTTTCAAATCCCACTTTGGCCACTTACAGTAATTCTTGTATTATCTTCTTGAGTAAGTTATTTAACCTCTGGGAGCCTCAGTTGCTTTATCAGTTAAATGGAGATTATAATATTCACCTGAGAAATTTGGAGGCTTAGAAAGGATGATTTTAGAATGTCTAGCACTCAGCTTGGTATGCTCATCTTACGAAAGCTCTGACATTGACAATTTTCTCATATCTTCTTGAAGCTAATACTTCTTAATACTTCTTGAAGCAGTAGCATACAAAGGAGTAATGTGTGGATAGACAAGAAAGTTAGAAACTAAAAACAACTGGGAAAATTATCACTTTAAACAAACAAGCAAACACACACACACACACACACACACACACACACACACACACACACACACAAGCAAAAAACAGCTTTGCTATATCCCAGACTTTAATTTAGTGGGAAAGGACGAAGGCTAAATGGAAAGGAATGTTAGTGATGCCAAAAAGTACTCCTCTTCCTCAGTCTGACAACCTACAGTTAGCCCTATGCACTTATTCCAGAAAACCATAGAAATGAGGCAATATGGGAAAATTGCTTCAATTTCTTTTGCACTACTTGACAGTAAAGTAAAAGCTTTAAAATGCCATCAAGAAATCTGTAGCATTTTAATACTCATTGGCAGTTTGCATGTGCTTCCTATATTGCAAGTTTATCTAATGTTCTTCAAATGACCGAAAAGAAAATGATATAAAAAATTAAGTCCTCAAGTCTTCAATGGGCAGTTTAAAGAGTTGAAATGCAATGACCCCAAATTCTTTTTAGAATGTATACATATTCTTGGCTGACCAGAAGCAAGGAATAATTATGAGTTCCACGAAAACAATATTTACTCATGAAATTTTAGTAAAAATGTATTATGAAAACAATGTGCTTGTAGATTTTTTATATGTGTTGGTCCACACTTAGCATAAAAATTATCCTGTCTAATATAGCTAAATATGATTGAAGAGACTGTTGGAATTAATGCTAAAATATTCAGTACAGTTTATTGTAACTGATCAGTCTAACCAAGAACAAATTGAGATTCACTTGAAGCTCCTGGGCTAGGGAACACAATTAACAGAGACACTCCTTGCCTATAGAAAAGTAAAGCTGGCCTTTCAGAAATGATTACAAGGAGAGAGAAAATGGACACTCTGGTGGCACTGCAATCAGTGTTTGTAATTTGTAAGTGCTGTTTGGAATACAATTCTAAAAAGAGTAGGTGTTGCTTTACAACCTACCTTCAGAAGAAAATATCAATTGGCTTCAAAGCATGACATACAAACTTCCATACAAAAATATGAATTTACAAAGTGAATATTGAAAGAGTTTTTGAAAGTAGTTATGTAGGGGACATTTGTTCCCTTACAATAAACAATGACATGAAAAATAGAATATTCAGGAAGAACAATAATAAATGGAACTTACCTCCATCCAGCTCCTCAGCTCCAAAATGATTCCTGTAGAAGAGCATGATTTCTATCTTGTAACACTTATAGATGGTCACCAAACAAACAAGCAGTAAAAGAATAGCACCAAGCCCTCCAGCAAGTTCAACTGTGTACATTAGCTCTAGAAAAAATAAACAGAAATAGTGAATTATACAATGTTCACATCAAAAAATCATTAATTCAATTAATTATACATTTCATTTTCTGGATGAGACCAGATGTGGGTTATGAGCTACCACTATCTTTCCATTTTTGCAGGTTAATTTGACCTTTCTATAACTTTTAGATCTGTTTCTTTAATAGCTGGATAAGGCGGTATGCATCAACTATGTTGCTAAGTAATATTTCGTAGGGTGAAAATTAACCTTCATTGGTAGATTACATTTGGACTGAGAGAAATATAAATATTTGACTGAAAACCATAAAACTGGGTTTTCCCATGTTCAGCAACTCCTATGTAGAAACATATCCCTTTTGGAGATCCTTTGAGCTTTGCTTTTGGAGTTGGAAAAAACACACACACAAACAACTACTTGTCCCAGCAGATAGGAGCATTTAAAGGCAGAAGAGCTTCTACACTCACTTGCCCAATAGCAGTATTGATTCTTCTCACCTGAGGTGCTCACGTGGGAGTTGGGGGCCAAAGCAAAGGGAAGGGGCAAACAGCACAGTCCCTGGAAAATACTGTGGATTGCTGCATAGTGTGCAGAAAACTTCATAATGAATGCTATCTGCTGACAAGGGTCAGGGCAATGACTTCTGTACCATACCCTTTAGAATGAAGTGGTGTCACGGTGCTCAACGCTAACTAAGGTTAGACTCTGAATGCTTACTCAAAACTAAGAAACAAGCATCCTAGTAGATGTTACGATAAAATGTGTTTGTATTATTTTCCTTTTTTTCAGCTATTACATTTTTCCTTCGATTAATTTGCTTCCCCTTGTACCAGGAATGTACCTATGTTCCATCCAAGAGACATTTTTCTTGATGCTTGCTGTATACAGCTTCTCCATTTCCTACGAAATGTCTGCATTATATCAGGAATAATCAAATTCTGGAGTGAAATATTTACTTTTTTGTCTCTCAGAGCTTTTGACTATTATAATAAAATTAAAGCCAGTAGTATTTATTTATTTTTAAATATTACTTCATTAGTGACTTACTTTTTTTAAATATTGAGTTTCAATGAGGTATATTTTTAATAGAATTTATTGGTACATTCTAGGTATACAGTACAGTTACATTCATTACTGGGATCTTGTACCTATACATGACAGGTCTTGGTTCTCATTTTTTCCCCTTGTCCCTGCCCTCCCTTCACCCCCTCCTCCCCTCCCCATTTACAAATACTTTATTTCCATTTTTTCATTTTCTCATATTTTTTCTTTTCCCTTATTCCCTTTCCCCTACCCTTCCCACTTTCCCTACACCTTTAGCCCTTTTCTTCCTATTTCACATTGTTAATTATCTCATTAGGATCTTGTGTACTATTATAGTTTTTCACACCAGAGAAACTATTTGGTATTTACACATGTGTGACTTATTCATTTCACTTAGGAGTATATCCTCAATATGTATCCATTTTCCTACGAATTACTAATTTCTCATTCTTTATGGCTGAGTAGTATTTCATTTTATAGAAAAACCACATTTTCTTTATCAAGTTTCCAGCTGATGGGCAAATGGGCTGTTTCCATGTTTTAGCTATTACAAACTGTGCTGCTATGAACATAGGTGTGCATATGCCACTGTGATATGATTCTTTTAATTCTTTTGGAAAGATACCCAGCAGAGGGATGGCTGGGTCAAATGGAACCTCTAGTCCCAGCTCTTTGAGGTATCTCCATATCGATTTCCATAGTGGTTGCAGTAGTCTGCACTCCCACCAACAATGGAGAAGGATTCCTTTCTCCCCACAACGCCACCAACATTTGTTCTTGTGTGATTTCTTGATAGCAGCCATTCTTTGTGTGGTGAGGTGAACTCTCAGTGTTGTTTTCATCTGCATCTCTTGAATGACCAGTGATGTGGAACATTTTTTCATATATTTACATGCTGCTTTAACTTCTTTGTCTCAGAAATGTCTGTTCATTTCAGATGCCCATTTTTTAATTGGGTCTTTATATTTGAGGGGGCTGATTGTTTCGATTTCTATATATATTCTAGATAATAGTCCTTTGTCTGAGAAGCAGCTGGTAAAATTTTTTCCCACATTGTAGGTTGTCTCTTAGTTTTGTTGATGGTGCCTTTTGCAGTGTAGAAGCTTTTTAATAAGATTAGATCCCAGTTGTTGATTCTTTCTGTTGGAAAAACTGGATCTCAACCTGCCAAAGATTAAAACTAGACCTTTATCTGTCACCATGCACTAAATTAAAATCCAAGTGGATTAAAGATCTAAATATTAAAACAGAAACACTAAACTTGCTGGAAGATAAGTTAGGCAGAACTCTGGGAGACAATGGCATAGGAAAAAACTTTATGAACAAATGAGGTACATTTATACGTGTATGTATTTCGATAGTTTCCATCTGCCCATTACTCTTCTTAAATGCCCTTCTATCCTCGGCCTTATTATTTTCCTCTTCTATAGTAATAGTCTCCCTTCTACTTTCATGTCATCTATTTTTAGATTCCATATATTAGAGAAAATAAAAAATACATAATTTTCTGTGTCTGGCTTATTTTCCTGAACACCATGATGTCCAGTTTCATCCATTTTCCTACAGATTACCTAATTTTGTTCTCCTTTATGGCTGAATAACACTCCAGTTTAGATAGATAGATAGATAGATAGATAGATAGATAGATAGATAGATATGAAATTTTCTTTATCCAGTCATCTGTGGGATGGGTGTTGAAGCTGGTTCCATATCTTTTGAAAATCATGCCACAATAAATATGAGTAAGCAGGTATCCCTCTAGTATGCTGACATTAATTCATTTGAGTAGATACTCAGTATGGCTAGAGCTGGAACATCTGGTAGTTCTATCTTTAGTGAGGAACACCATACTGATTTACATAGTAGCTGTACTAATTTACATTCCCACCGGCAGTGTGGAAGTGTTTCTCTCCCATCTCCACATCTGTATTTACTGTATCTTGTATACTTTATGATAGCTATTCTTTATTGGGGAATATGAATGGGGAAATAGGGATGGGTAATAGGAATAGCTCCCGAGAGACAGGAGGGATCCTGAATGGGTTGTCTTATGACAGCTATTCTGGCAGGAGTGAGAGGGAATAACAATGAAGTTCTGATGCTCATTTCCATAATGGCTAAAGATGTCAAACATTTTTTCATATAATTATTTGCCCTTCTTCTTTTGAGAAATGTCAGTAGAATTTATTTGCCCATTTATTATTCTATTTTTGATGTTTTATATTTCATTATATATTTCAGATATTAATCCTTTGTTTGAAAAGTGGCTGGAAAAGTTTTTCTTCCATTCTGTAGGCTGTCTCTTTACTCTGTTGATTTTTTTTTCTCTTTCTGTGCAGAATCATTTTATTTCATGTAGTCCCTTTTGTTGTTTCTTGCTATTATTTCCTGGGCTATTGGAAGCCTATTCAGGAAGTGTCTCCCTGTCCCCATGGTTTCAAGTGTTTTCCCTATGTTTTCTTCTAGCAGGTTAAATTTTTTTCAGGTTTTATACCTAGATGTTTGATCCACTTTGAACTAATTTTTGTACAGGGTGAGCAGAGAGGGATCTAGTTTAAGTCTTCTGCACCTTCCATTAAAGAGGGTCTTTTCTCTAAAAATTTTAGACTCTTTTGTCAAGATTCAAATGGCTATAGCTTGTTTGTGGGTTTGTTTCATTGTCTTCTTTTCTATCTCATTGATCTATGTGTTTACTTTTCTGCCAGTACTATACCTGTTTTGTTACTATGGCATTGTAGTATCATTTCATATGTGGTGTTGTGATTATCTTTAGCCTTGCTCCTTTTGCTTAAGATTTTCTTGGGTAATCTGGATTTTGTGTTTCCATATAAAATTACCACTGTTTGACTTTGTGAAGTATATCATCAGAAATTTTATGGAGATTGAATTGAATCTGTTGTTGTTTTTGGCAATATGGCTATTTAAATAATATTAATTTTGCTGATCCATTAGCATCAGTGTCTTGTGCAATTACTTGTTCTTGTTCCTTAGTGTCTTCTTCAATTACTTTACTCAGTATTTTGTAATTTTTATTGTAGATGTCTTTCACCTTGGTTAGATTGACCCCTGAATATTTTTTTAGGCTATTGTGAATGGAATCATTTTACTGACTTCTTTTTCAGCTAGTCAATTGCTGGTATTTAGAAGAGATACTGATTTTTTACATGTTGATTTTGAAGCTTGCTGGTATTTAAGTAATAGGTCACCTTTCACCCATATTGAAACTCTCTTTAACTAAGGGCTTGTGTTCACATGTTGTCCTTGATTATCATAATATAATTGCTATTACTGATGGCTACTCATTATTCTCTAAAGTTGACCATTGCTTTGAGAAGCACTGCTTTCCTTAAGTGCCATTAAATGTAAATAACCTTGACATTGTAGTACTAAATTGATGTTTAGTTTTGTAATTGAGAAAATTTCAATGAGTGGAATATCTAATTTCATAGCACAGTGAATGTAAGCTTAGACTAAGAATTTCAATCTGTGCTTTTTCACCAAATGTATACTTTTCTTAATTCATTAAGTGTGTTCGTACATTTTGGTATACAATATGATGACATTCATCATTTAGGATTTTTACCTTTATATGATGTATCTTGGTTCTTATTTTTCCCCATTCCCCTGCCCTCCCTTCAACCCTTCCACCCCTCTCTATTTACAAAGACTTTATTTCTGTTTTTTCCTGTTCTCATATTTATTCCTTTCCCTTCCCCTACCTCTTCTACTTCCCCTTCCCCTTTGGGTCTTATCTTCCTATTTCGTATTATGACCCAGCCATCCCTCTGCTGGGTGTCTTCCCAAAAGAGTTAAAAGTATCATACCACAGTGACATAAGATCACCCATGTTTTTAGTGGCATAGTTTGTAATAGCTAAAACTTGGAATAAACCCAATTGCCCATCAACTGGTGACTTGATAAAGATTGTTTTTTAATAAAATGGAGTACTACTCACCCATAA